TACTAAGAGTTTACAGGACATGTTAGAGTTGAGGAAGTGGCGCAGGGCAGCCTCATCCTTCATGCAGTAGTCGCCAAACCACAGCGGCAACCTCTTCAGCATGAGGTGGCAAGAGGAAAGACAGAAAAGAGAGAAGAGCGCTCGTAAACTGATGTACCTACTTCTGGTGGGTAACCGTACCATGGACCATGGCTCCTGCAAAAGGGTGCAGTTTGATTGCATTGCGATCAGAAGCCAACCCATGACGATTGTGAACATTCTCCAAGTTCATAGAGCTCATGCTACCGTATCTCATGACATATATGGCCCACATGGCAAGATTTTGATACAATTCCTTGAATGTCGAGGAAAAGAAAGACGGAGCCCTGCATGCAAGTTTGCCAGGGCTCTGGCTCAAGGTCCTGCAGTTCGGGTCGCATCAGACGAGTTTTTCCAATGAGGTTCAAAATCATGGGTTGAGGCGTTTAGGTGCAGCAGTTTGGGCAAAAGGACTTCAGGGGCTCGGTGGGATACAGTGCGGGATCCTTTTTTCCTGGAGCAATTTGGTCCACATCCAAATGACCACGCCATGTCTGAAGTGAACACGGCTTCCTAACAAATGATATGTAGGCTTACTGCTATACATGGGGACATCTTATACAGCAACCACACCATGCTGCAGGGTGCCCTGTAATTTAGCTGTTTCAGGATAGCTCAGCATACACAAGCCTGCTGAAGTTTGCAATTCTCCTGCGGCGTGTGGAAGCTGCGCCAGGGTAAGTCCAGGCGCTTTCCGCCCGAGCCGCCTCCCAGAAACACAGGCCTTGCGAGACCCTTGTTAAGGAGGCTTATTGCAGACTAGCCAGTATGGAAGCTAATAGGACAGAAGAACGGACAATGATAGCAGCAAAGAAATTCTCATCCAGAGCGTCCGTGAAAGCATGGACGGCCTGAATCCCTTTCAAATGCTTCCTGTCCCCACTCCGCCTTGGACGTCGTCCAGAGCCGTCTGCACTCGCTCAGCAGCAGTCTTAGCGATCTCCTGAATCAAGGGGTACCCGTCAAGAGCGTAAAGATATACAGGCACTACAAAGGCAGCTCCCTGACATTCTCCCTGTAGGAAAATGTTGAAGTCAAGGGGGATGTCTTAGAAGTTCCCCGACACTCGAAGCACCCCAGGCCTTTGAAGTCCCAACCTCCGGTATACTTGGCCTAATCGCTTGGAACCACAGCTCCAAAGCCTTTCCAGACTCTTTTCTAAAAGTTTGACAATCCATCTCTAGTTCTGTAGTCAACCTGAATTCTGGTACGTTTCGGTGAGCCTTTCCAAGCTCCGCAAAAAATTGGGCCTCAACGCTTTGCCCTAAACTCCAAATCGGCAACAACGTCAACTTATTCCCTTGACCCAGAATAGCCCATTGACTTAGTCCCTAAACCCATAACCCTACAGTAGGGGCCTAAAAAGTACCAGTACCATCTTCAGGTTTATTTGAGGCACCCTGATCCATAAGGGTTCAGGATTTAGGGTCTGGGGATATTATTGGTACTTATACTTGGTCCCCTAGAAGATACCCTTTGCTTCTACAACGGGAATCCAGGACACCACGCCCCACGAATGGCCCTACTGGGTCCTCGCGGAGCTGCTCCACGGCATGGCGAAATTCAATCTGAGGAGGAATGGAAAGGGAATGAATTATTGAGAGTTTTCTATACGGATCCTAAACTGACTGGCTGCTTCTAGCAAACGAAGGAATAGACAAAATAATGGAAACTCCTATCTAGGGTTTTGGATGTAGGGGCTTTGCTTGAGAATTCTGAAAGCATGCTAGCCCTGAACTTACTGCCTGGCTGTTGCTGGGGATTCATTCCTCCATTACCTACTACTTGTTTCAAACAGTGAGAAAAAGGCTTACAGAATACCTTCCAGAAAACAGGGATCGCATAGGTGTTATTGGCCATAATCCCTGCCGGACTCAGACTTCGTCGCGGGTTCTTGAGATATTGTAAGACCGTGCTCTACTTTGTAGGGGTGCTGTACAGGCTACACCCTCCATCTCTCCATCTCCCGCTCCATGCCCGCTGGTCCCAAACACTCTAAACCATGACCCCTAAGCCCGCAAACCAAGAAGCTGACGTTCCGCCGCAGGATGAGGATGCTGGCGACGATCGTGGCACGCATCCTGGATGCTTTTAGGGGTGCATTTGTGCTAAATAGGAGATGCTGTCTGAAGTGCGTGTCCGGGAGCTGCAGTGTCTTTTAGTGCATATGTATGTACATGGAGCATGGATTGTGGAGTTTGGTGTGCAGGCAGGGAAACATGTCAGGGCTGGGGCAGAAGATCCAGGGTCTCCGGGTCTAGGATCTAGGCTTGAAGGTGTTGCAGGCTGGGGCCCGGGATTTCAAGTCAATGTTTTCCAAGAATTGGCCGAGGAGGGCACGCGCTTGGGACATGGTGAGACATTGGGCGCGGTCGACACACAACGAAAGGATGCCTGTACGCAGTTCAGGGTTTGGGGTATATTAGGGTTTAGGATTTAGGGTTCAGGTTTGTGAGCTCCTCTTCAATGATCCGCTATGAGGTTCTGTTCGTGGCCCGGGTGGGGCCTGCGACAAGAACATGGTGGATGTGCAACCAGAAATCGAGGAGACCTGCCGAAGACTCCCTAAACAATTGGTCAATAGGATGCCCAAAGAGGACACCCAGGATTTGAGCAACCCTCATTTCAAATGACAAGGCGAATCGGAACCCAAGCTTCAAGCTCATGAGGAAGCCGCTGCCATAGGCAGCACTATTTGGGGTTTAGGGGTAGTACCCCAAACAACGGGAAATCGAACGCAAAAGAACATAGAACATGGAATGGAAGCCTCTATAAGCATGACAGGAAGGAACCATACCATGACCATAGACAACAACCAGAATAACAGCAATCATGCTCACAGGGCTCAGGTTTTGATGGCAACTGTCTGGATGTTCAAAACACTGATGGCAGCACAAGTGCATGCATAACAGAACACTGCTTGCTTAATATGGGCTATTCTCATCACTATGGGCCCCTGTTGGTTACAAATCATGGCATGGCACCTAACATTTACAGGTACCGACATGGGAACCTAAATTTGGGAACTTCCCAAAGGACTCACCCAGAGAGCCCACTACCCCTTAATTAAGGAACATACCCTAAATGGTACCAGGGTCCCTCATATGATTCAAGCTATATTCCTTAACTAAGAGATATTGGGCTCCCTGGGCACCCCCTAAACCCTATTTACCATTATATCCCCCTTTAAAGGGACCCTAATTTTGTGAACTTCCCAAAGAACTCAGAAAACCCCGAGGACTGGCGCCTGCAGCCGGCTTCCTGGCCGCTTGCCGCATAGATGGATCCGCAGCCTCGGGCTCAAAACACTAAAGCAAAGAATTTAGCCAAGTCATGCAGTTTTAGAATTTAGGGTTTAGGGTTTTGAGGGTTTAGGGTTGAGGGTTGTTTAGGAATTTGAGGGTTTAGGGTTTAGGGTTGTTGAGGGTTTAGGCCCCCCAGGCCATGTCAGGTCCTGGGCGCTGAAGTTCTTATGAATCCTACGCCTCATGGCTTCAAGCGGGACTGTGTTGCTCATTCATTCAAGCAGGCTCTGCTCAGGGAGCCCAATACCCCCTACTTAAGGAATATGGCTTAAATCATATTAGGGACCCTAATACAATTTAGGGTATATTCCTTAAGTAAGGGGTATTGGGCTCTCTGAGTGCATTTACTATCGAAAGTGCGGATGAACAGTCTCCTGTGCATGTTATCGACTGGCTTGCTGTGACAATGAACTATTGGTAGACGAGCCTCGAAGGCTTAAGTATGTTATACTATAATATACTGTGACTATGATATACTATCTAGGAGCCTGATGATTTAAAGATATGTTCCAAATGCACAAGTCCTCTGCTGAAAGCTATCTGTCTGTGTGCAAGCTTCACCTTGCAAGAAAGTACTTGCTGGCATTGGAAGCGGTTCCATAAGTTAGCGATGTAATTCTACACAACTGTACTATAACATGCTATGGTATATTTTAAGATACTATAATATACTGTAATATACCATAATCTGCTATGAAGTATAGGGTCCGGGATTTGGCTTGTATCGCCGGAAGCGGTGCTGAAATAGTTCGCCCAACTCAGGGACGAGCGCAGGAAACCGATGCGCACATCGTCGGTGCCCTTGAAGACATGCATGGAATGGATGCTGTACAAAACTCCAAGGAAACAGACATCCCTTTTTCTGCATACCCTCAAGCACCACAGCTGCAACCATGTCGACAAAACTGTAGAATTCAACAATCCTGCAGCTTCACAACCGCGGGTCCTTCGCAACGACGGCGCTGACAGGCGTTTCGCTGCTGAAGTCTACCACCTGTTCGGCTTGAAATGTTTGCACAATCTTTCTCCTCTCAGAAATCGCTGAAGACAGCCTGACGCTGAAGGAAGATCTTGCTGGGTCGGTTGTGAGCTGTTCGCTATCACCATGTGGGTAGTTCAGGAACCGCTTATCTTCCCGCTGCCTCTACCCAGTCGTGATGTGAGAGACGTGTGAGCATGCGCGACTATTCGTCTCTTTTCGAACCTAGCGCTGGCTTCAAATCAGAATGCGTGGTGCATTCTGACTTTACCACCCGTGCGGGTTTGCATACAGGCGACTTGTTTCCAGTTCAGCCCGTCCAACAGAACACGCGATCAGCTGGCGGTTGCCAACGCCAAGCACCTGAGACCCAGCCGCAGCCGCTTTCGAACTCCATCTGCTGCTCCCCCTTTGTGACAGAGCATTGTTTGCTGCGGGAGGAGAATACGGCGCCAGTGGCGTCAAGCTGGAAGCACCGCAAGCCCAGTCGTCCTCCGATGCGTGTTGTGGTGTCTGCGCAGTCTCACCACTCAAATCAAAGCTGTGCTGACTTTGAATTGGACCTGGGCTTCAGCATAGCTTTCTAGCAACCATGGAAAACGTGCTCAGGAGACTCCAGTCAAGCTCCAAGGAGCCTTTCAGGTCTGAGGAGGTACAGGCTCCAAGCACGCGTCCGCATCATCACCAAAGCATGGCTCCATCTCGCTTACGGACCAGTAGCTCAAGTCCTTCCACAGGTCCATGAGAAATGGGCGGAGGAACTTGTTAAGATCTTCTGGGATTTCTAGGATGTATTTGTAAACGCTACATTCAGGTAAAAAAAATATGTGTGTGGGTACGTTGCCAGAATTGCACTTTCACTGCTTTGTAATGAAAATCTGTCACTCGTATGTACTATGACGAAGAGCTCTCGTAGTCTTCCTGCTTCTTGCGAACATAAACGAGAACTACTGAGGAGGGCTCCCATATTTCAAGCTAAAACCTAAGTTCTCCAAATTTCTTCTGAAGAATGATTTAGGCTTCAGGGGTTTTAGGGGTTTAGGGTTTTAGGTGTTTAGAGTTGCGAATTCGGGCCAGGTCCATAATTTCGACACCTACTTGGTAGTTTCCCCAACAATAAGGGACCGAATTCAAGACCCTAATAAATGTAATCCTTATGATAAGGTTATAGGGGCCCCAGAAGGTAAACATCATTTTGGGAGACCTTAATTAATCCAAATAAACCTCTATATAGCCCTTATTTCCATTTCATTTTCCAGTTTTCCATTTGCTTCAATATTGTGGGGTTAATATCTCTCAACCCTACATCCTCAGCACTATCGTCTCTCTTGAACCCCTATAGAACTCCTATATATCCCCTGTATGCCCCTTAGGAGGATCCCTAATTTTGGCCCTAAACCCTAACCCCTAAATCCTAAACCGCTACTTCCATAGGTCCACGGAGTCCTTGCCCTCCATCCTTCGGATCTCACTCTCCCGCTTTAGGGCATGCCTGGAGTGAGCTGCAAAACCCCCAAAATGGTGTTTAGGGTCTAGGGTTTAGGGTTTAGGGGTTTACACCTTAGTTGTTTAGAGTTTAGAGGTTTAGGATTTAAGGTTTCTAGGGGTTGGGACTCGTTCTGCAATGCTATTCTATTTTCAGCACACTCCCTGAGTTGGGTGATGCGATTTCAGCGACTGAAATGGAAAAGAATAAGCCGGCTGGAAAGCTCCAAATATAACAGTAATGATCGTTTAAGCGGATAGCGGATTCCAGTTATCGACCCAGCTGCAGATTCCACACGTGCATCACGCGGAGGGAGAGTCCAGAATCCTGGAACCAGTTTGAGGGTGCCGGAACTTCGCTCAGAAGCTTGATACGGCCAGCGTTGCCATCAACCTAACACGCGGATTTCCAAAAACAGTTGTTCCAAATCATAACAATTAGGATTCGTGTTGCTGTGATTGCTGATTTTGGGTGTCTAGCTCTGCATTGAATTAAAAGCTTGATGATTGCACAGGACAGAGAAATTGTGCAAGGAAATGCCTGGCGAGCATGCTGTTCTACATTCCAAGTTGCACAGAGGTGAGGAGTGTTATTACGTTGTACGAGTACCCGGGCATTGAGGCAATGGATGCACTCAGAACCTCTTGACCTGATGACATATTGTGCGCAACCCAAATCGGGATTGGGGCTAGCTATAGCTGCAGGGGTATAATATGGGAACCAATCAAGCTTTAAACTTACCTCCAGCCCGATGCTAGTTGGAGGCGGATAGCCCTAAACCCTAAGCCCGAAACCCTAAACCGGTAGCCCAAGCAAGATCCAAGACCAGGAACTTTTGCAAAATTGCGAGGGTCCTCGTCTCTGCAATCAATTCCCACAAGCTGCCTAAACGGTGTAACCCTCAAAACCGGACTATGTAGGATCCATCCCCTCATCCCCCCCCGTATATGCCAAGAAGTTCAAACCCCTTTTCTGGGTGGCCTTGACAGGACTTGAATTAAATTACCAGAATGGGTTCCATGAAAAGGGTTACAGAGGGTTACGAATTCAGAGTTAAGTTCCCAGAATATGGATACATAGGCCCAACATGGTTTGAAACTTCGGGAACTTTGCGTTAAATTCCTTAATAGCAAGCCAGTTTTCAGGCTTAGTCGCATAGACGGCCGCACAGCGGGCAGGGCCTTCCCTGCAACAAAGGGTCTCGGCCTCACAGGGAGCTCCTTTGACTCATAAGGAAAATGCTCGAAGGTGTAATGCAGAAGGACACACTGTCCGTTTTGAGGGTTGTAGGGGTTCAACTGCCCTCATAATGAAGTAGGAAAGAGTTTGAGCTGGTCATATCTGAAGCCTTGTACTCTCTGTTTGACCTTTTGGTTGTTATGAGGGAATGGAGGAAGGGATCTCTGCAGTGGCCCCTATGTAACCCCTAAGAAATGCACAATTTCAGTTTCTTGTTCATCCTTTCCTTCCCTGTTAACAAACAACAAGTTAGCCTTAGCCCAAAGGCTTTCCTCAGATTCCCATTTCATGTTCCATGTGATTTTGAAGCCGACTTTCAATTCCGGACTGACCCCCAGCCAGTATCCCCTAAACCCCATTGAGGCCTTATCCCAACCCCTAGAGACCCAGTTTCCATTTAATTTCAATTTGTTTTACATGCAATTCTCCAATCTTCTTTCCATCTCTTCTTATACCTAAACCCTAATAGCCGTTGCCATCATCTTTTCCATCCCGCTGACAACAAAACAGGCTGAAGGAAGTCACAAAACCCTTCCTCTTTTTATTTCTCAATTCTTTGGGGTATATATATATAATATCCTTGAAAACATTATACAACGCACCGCCATATGCCATAATATACCCCTGTAGACATCCTAGTATCCCTCCAAAAATTGCCTCCTGGATGGGCACATCGCCCTTCAGGTCCCAAAGCACCTTCCGGGGGGTTTAGGAGTCACCCTGGGGAAAAAAAAAAAAAAACAACCATACTACACAAGAAAAGCAACCCCCCCCGCCCCCCCAAGTATAAAGGATCCTGAAATGGACCCAGCAATTCCTACCCTATGATGCCTGTAAGCATACCATGTTAAATATCATCTGGGGTGTTCCTATCCTAGATCCAGTAAGCCCATCTTGCAGTGAAGGAAGTAAGACCTTTGCCCATATGCACCTCGCTAGGGAGGACCTCGGCAGGCCTAGCCGGATATCTGCGGAATCTGCACTCATCGCAGCCGCGGTCATACCTGTACACCCGCTTCAGTTTCAAGCTGTGCAGTGCAGGCTTGGGATTCGAGAATTCATGTCCAACTTTATTGGACAGGTCCGTTGGGCACCTGCCAGGCAAATAGAGTGTGTCTAGAAAGTTCGTAGAATGTATGTCAGAAAGGAAAGCGCTTGCACAAAAAAGCCATGATACCGCTTGTACTTGGTACAAGCCTGCTTGCTCAAGTCATCTAAGAAGATCTGAAAGTCTGATAGATTCGGAATTGCAGGAGACACCCGCTGGAACACGTGCAAGTTGTACGCAAAATGGCCGCAACAGGCACCGAAGGATGTCGTTCGGGCTGCCGATGCTCGCAGCATTGAGCTCGCGGCCTCATCGTACCCAAAGCCCAATCTAGCAAAAATTGTCTGTACCTCGTCCGGGTCCCTCATGTTCACATGACCTCGATCAAGTTGAGTGCGTGCAGCCCATGACATTACCACGCCCTGCAGGGCATGGCGATTGACATTCTCTAGGAAAGCGCCCTCAAAGATGGCAGGCACATGCTCAGCCACCTCCAGTGACAGAATCCAATCACTGGGCTCTTGATGCTCCAGGGGTGCTGTGATATCGCCGAGGGTGCAGAGACCGCTAGACAGTTCATCTGCATAAGGATTCAGATCTACTCCTCTGCTCAAAAATCCAAGGGAGTCAAAAACCTTCAGATACTGGCCGCATCCACAGCCCAAATCCATGACAGACCTCGCGCTATGCTGCAAGAGAAGGTTTGCCACCGCAACAGCAACGGAGCGGTCCATTCTGCAGATCTTCCTGGCCTCGACTTGCTGCAAAATGAGATGAAAAAACACAAGTTGGCTAAGACATCCCGGAAAAAGCTGCATTAAAGGTTCGCGCAGAAGGCTGAGGGGGTGTGTGTGTGTGAAGGTTTTTGGGATGCTAGCACCAAAGCTCTTAAAAGACTGCTGCCTGGTATCCCGATACGGCAACACTCATAAGCATTGTGGCACTGGTCTTCTTTCATGACAAGAAGAACAACCGCAACTCTTCTTTCGAGTGCTACGGCCTGTCTAAATCCTTGCTAACGTCATTCTGCTGGTTGCCACTATCGTCGTTGCCCTTTGCCGCATTGACACGAATGCTCTTGTTTGATGACCCCCACCCCCACCGACGCCGCTACCACCACTGTCACCATTGAGAGCGCCACCGCTGCCCGCTAATACTACTGTTGCTGCTACTGCTACCACTACCACTACCACTGCCACTACCACTACCACTACTACTGCTGCT